GTGCTATAGACCTCACTGAGCATCAGGGCACGACAGAAGCTGTGGCCTGTTAATCGCACCCATTAGCGTTTAGTACACATCTAACCATCTACCAAACCCAAACTATCTCACGTTTAACTGAGGTATCCTGGTTGTCCATATGCCTTGAAAACCTCACTTTTACACACAGTTGTCATGCAGCACAACACAGATAGGGTCCTGCCAATTCCGAGAGTGGCTTCTCTCCATCATACAGCCAACAGCAGTTGAACATGGCAATCATGTGGTGTGGCTGTGGAATTCACAGTCTCAGTCACCAGGTGACTTAGCAGAGACTGAAACTTAAATGTGCTACAGGCTCAACCTTAGCTTAGCCATGATTATTGTCATTATTAATTACTACTATTATTATATACACTGCTGACATATTAAACCACATACCTAAAATACACTACAATAATTGTGACAACTATAGACCGGATTCCAATCCCGGGAGGGCAGCACCTGCTCCAGCCTTGGAGGGAGATGCAAAGTGCTTCGGTGAATCCACAGTTAAAAGGCTAAATCGCGAATACGTCCAGATGGCTCAGCTGGTGAAAGGCTTCAGCCCTATAGAAGGGCTATAGGAGCAGGCTGGGCGTCTGCCAGCTGTTAGCAATCTGTCCTGAAGGGCACACTGCTTTTCCAGCTGGCGCTAATGGCCAGTGGCGGGGCAAGCATGCATCGCCTGAAAGGGAGGCCCTGCTCTCAGGGCATCCGAGACTAGTGGGCAGGGAGAGGACACACACTTGCTCCTCGAGGAGTCTTTCTGGCGTGCGATGGAATGCAACAGCAGACAGATGGATAAAGAGTATGAATAATAAGGACGTGGAGAGCCCAAAAAAAAAAAAGAGTTAAAGACATTCAAAATAATAGGTGCCTGCTTTTTTATTACACATCTCCTTAGCACTTCGGAGTGTTACATTTTATCCACCAGTTATGAAACGATTTTACATTTGGCCACATATTCGAAGATACACTTATAGTACGCTTCATTACAGAGCTTGTGCTGTCCATTAAAAGGCATTTTCCAGAAGAGTGGCAGAAATAAACCATACATGAGTTGCAGATTGATTACCGGAGCTGGATTTGTACAGCACAGCCAAATTATATAATGTAGGGAGCATATTTTACCTAAAACTGGAAAGATAAGGAAATAAGCTATGGGCCATAAGGAGATGTGGACACAATGGATCCGTGGTAAAGCAGGAAATAAGATGTGATAAACACGAGCCAGACTGCCTGAGGGATGAGCTGGAGATAGAATGATCTGGAAGCATACATGGTAAACCATCTAAGCGTTTGGGTCTTAGAACAAAATCACTGTTGGGGGGGGGGGGGTCAATGGGAGCAGAACCAGGAGCAGAGCTGCGGGCGAAGCCAGGGCTGGCACTGCAGAGGAGATAATTACGGCAAATCGCAAAGCCGGCCTCACCGTTCCAGAGGGCCAGGGGCTCTCCGCTCACTGGGCCCGCAGCCACAACTCGCTAGACTGGGAGGACCCAAAACAAGGCCTGAAGCAGGGGCCAGTTGTCTGGTGCGTATTATGGGTGATATTAGCCATTTTAACCCAAGCCACTTGCAGTTGAAGCTCTCTCCGGAATGTTCTGTGACATTACTCTGCCTAACGTGAGAGAACCCCTCATCCTTGCAGTGACAAGGAGCTCAGCAGGCATTAATCTGTGTCTGGCCTGGGGGTGGCGTGCTGCTCAGTGGGTAAGGATGCTACGCCTATGATCAGAAGGACATCAGTTCAAATCCCAGGGTCAGCAGAGTGACATCACCCTTGAGTCCTTGGATCGAAGCTTTGAACCCTCGATTGCTCCAGGAACTGGCTTGCCCTGATGTCTTTGGATAAAAGCATCTGCTAAAATTAAACACAATGATTGGTCCAGGGCGATGCGTACACTCCGGTGAGGTAGTCAAGGCTCACTGTTCCCGTCTACAATTTGGTCAAACATGATGGTTTCAGGCCGCTGTTGCGCCAAGTCATCCCTAGTGTGGGTGTCAAGCTCTCTGCCAACTCTCACGCTCACGGCACTGAAAACGACCGGAGACCCCGCACAGGTTCACCAATCCAACCGAAGCCCGTTGTCCGTGGCAACGCAATAACAAGCACATTCCTCGTCGTGTAGGTAACGTACTTGCATTTTCAGGCTATAACATACAAACGGCATGTGTCACATTCCTTCTCAGGAAGACGTTAAATCATCCACTGCAGTGAAGCCTAACTGTTAGTCACAGTCAACTGTAAAATCAGTAAAACTGAGGTATCGAACAAATGTTACATTCACTGAACTAGACCAGTGTTTCCCAATTCGGTACTTGGGGACCCACAGTCAGTCCACCGGGAGCTGGAAGGGAGCAAAAATGTGGGCTGACTGTTAGGGAGCACAAACATGGACCAACTGTGGGTCCACAAGGACCAGACTGGGAAACACTGAACTAGATGCTCACTGGCATAGGTAAATGTTCCCATTGATAGCGCTGGCCAAACAGGGAAATGGAAACCTCCTCCAACTGCAATTTTAACATTAAAATGTCATAAAAGATCGACTGGTGGGCCCAGGTTCCCTTTTTCCCTGCTTTCCAAGACTCTGCCGTGTCCCCTCAGTTGTTTACACAACGGTGCTGATTAGGTATCATCTGTCACATCAGAAATGAACCATTATGCATGATCCGTCCCTGAAAGGGGGGGGGTGCATGACGACAGTGCCGTCCAATGTGGACACTGCTGGACCCAGGTGCCGTCCACGGCTGCGGGGGGGGGGGGGGGGACGCAGAGCTGGCTGGGTGAAAACACAAAATTGATTCATTCACATCACGACCTGTTTCAGGAGCACAGGGGCAGCCCAGAACCCCTCCCCACCCCCCACCTTGCTTTTGTCCTGGAGTGGTTCGTATCGGACCGGCGCCAAATCAAAAGCAGCTCATCCTAAAGTCGTTCACTCTACAGATCAGAGACACAATCCAAGCAACAATGTTTTGAGTATCATCACAGATAAACACATACACAAAAAAAATACGATAAGTGAACTATGTGCTAGAGCCAAAGACCACTCCGCAGGAACCGCTTAAGTGGATCTCATGGACGTTCCAGTAGAATGATCCATAAAGAAGAAATCAATAAAAACAGAAACAAATTATTTAGACGCACCTTGTCACATATCTTCTAGTTTACGTCGCTCCCTAAAGCCAACACCACCATGTTTTGCAACATAAGTTCAGAAGCAAAGGGGCTTTACAACCGACTGTCAGGACAAACATTTGCCAGTGTCCCAACATAACCTGTACATCTGAATATAAAAGCAAAACCTCCCCACCACAACCCACCCTATCCAATTAACAACTTGGCCAAACCAGTCAAACAGCTGAAGTCAAGCACCAGTTTCATATTTTGATACACGGCTACCTTCTGACAGTCACAGTTTGAGGAGCAAAGTCAAAGACGTGAAGTCACCGTTCTCGATAATGCCAACACAGATGCTGTTTCTTGGGATAGAATCATCTAGAATGGTTGTTTCGCAGGTTATAGAGTCTCACTCAGTGCACATGGCCTGAACCTCACACCTTTGGCATGGTGGAAATCTTTGGGTAAGTATGCTTTTTTGGGAATGTCATTTAAATCAGAGTTATCAGCACATCTCAAGTTCTGACCCAGCCTTACCGTACCCCCCAGCTGACGCCACGTACATCAGGTCACGGAAAGTGCCAGAATGAGGAATTAGTTTCCCCATTTTGCGCAAGACTGTAATAGGGACATGGGGGGAATGAGTTAGCGCTCTAGCTCAGAGAGGCTAATAGCTAATGTCAGAGGTTATTTTGGGCCTCGCTGACCGTAGCCGGTTACCTAAACCTTTTCCATGACTCACCTGTGGAACAGAACGAGGTGCACCTTGCCTGAGTACTGAGGTGTGCCAAAATGCTAACTGTGAGCTAGCGTCCAGCTGCGTTTCCCAAAAGCATCAACTAACTCATCACGTACGTCCTGTCTGTACTTTAAAAGACCAAAACATATTAGCTTTACCTTTATGGGGATAAGGCAAATATCTGTATATCTGAATAATCTTCTGAATGATAATGACTTCCAAATAAAGTTTTTGCATATAGTTTTATAGGAGAACTAATTAAATATCTATGATACTTGATGACCATGCAAATGTGCTTTGTTATCGTACCAAAATATTTGGACATGAGTAAGTTAACAGAGATGTAGACAGAAATGTCAGTTTCTGTTTTATTATGCTGGAAGGGATAACTACTGAAAGTTCTAGTCAGAAACTGACAGAATTATGCTGCAAGGGACAGAACCATCTATTCAAATCAATGAAATCGTTCATCATTTGCTCATTCATTACAACTAAAATATTTTCAGAACGTTAGGTGGAGTCCATGACAAGCACAATCCTAAATGTAGTGACACAGGAGCGATCAAAGCCGTGTAACACAAGCGTCTAAATTTCCCGAAGAACATTACTAATGAAAGAACAGCGAGGCAAACCTGAAACCCCCAAATATCCAGCACACTGCTACGGACAGCACATGCGATTTGAAGGTTACATAAATTGCCCTCGTCACTGGGGATTAGAACTTCAGTTTTTCTACACCCCTCCATTGTGAAAGCTGTCCGGGGGTCGTGTTTCAAAATAACCTGCTGTCTGCTTCTCAGCGGCCGACGTGTCAGGAACGGCAGGCGGCGTACAGAAGAGAGCAGCCCGGGAGAGCAGGTACAGGGCGTAACGGTGAGTCAACGTGCCGCGGACGTGCTCCCGGCGGCTCGCACACCGGGCATCGCGTGCCGACACGCCAAGAGTCACGCCTCGACGCCCAAGCGGTCGCGTCTTTCAGAGTCCTGGCCTTACCGCTAAACAGCTGAGACGACGGGAAAGCGGGAATGCGAGGGTGAGCGGCCGGCGTGTAGGCGAGCATCGGCAGGCTCCTGGAGCCCAGGAGGGAGACACGCCAGCGGCGGCACCACTTACCTTCCATCATGATTGCAGATTTACATTCCTCAATCTCCAAGGAGCCTGAAACAACAGCAGGGAGAAACGGGGAAAACCCGTTACTGGATTTGCCGATGGAGATGACAGAAATTAAATAAATAATAGGAAAAATAGGGAAAAAAAATGGAAGGGCTAGTTAAGCGGACCGAGCCGGCCCCCTGCCCCCACGCCACCGCTACCGGGACAGGCAGAGTCAGCGCTGGCCCCGGCGCTGCCAGAGTCTGCTGGGGCTATGGCACTGGGCCACAGAGAGAGCCAGAGCGCCGAGCGACACGATCATGGGAGGATGCTGAGAGTGGGAGGGGGGTTAGCAGGGAGGGAAAAAAAAGAGAGAGAAGGCAAGAGAGAGAAGGCGCGTGAGAGAGAGAGAGAGCGAGAGAGGGAGGGAGGGGGCGGGAGCACTGCTGACATCACATCCTCTCTCAGCCAATCCCCAAAGCCCTATTCTGCGTCACATGGCCCAAGGCCTTCGTCTCTCGACAGCTTTCCCCAGGAGAATACTGAACCAGCTCCACTGGAACACAGCACACAGACACAGACACACACGCACGCGCACACACACACACACACACACACGCATGCACACATGCGCATGAAGGCACACCAACACACACCCCCACACGCCCCCCCCCCCCCAAACCACACTTCCTGTTATACCCACATTGTACCTTGAGTGGCCGTGCAGGGACAGCTGGAGAAATGCTGGGACTGATCTCAGGCTTATAAAAAAATATTAAATGAGAAATCGGGGAGCGGTGGAGGAGGCAGAGACCCGCAGGCAGGCACCCGGCGGTTAGGGAGCCCCGTCGCCGTCCGGTCCTGCTGGGGGACCCGCGGGGGCCGGCCGCTGGCAGACGGGCTGGAGGGCTGCCATGTTTGGTTTGTTTTCTGGCTCTTTAACGGCTGCCTGCGTTTTCCGCGCTGCCCAGAGCTCAGGCGGCGCAGTGCGCTTGCTCAGGGGGATAAAGATCAATCGGGCTGACGTGAGCCGCCACAGCCACCGTCATAACCCCCACCCCCGACCAGCCTGCCGTGGGAGGGGCCTCTGTGGCTGTCCTCAGCCTGTCAGTTAGCAGGGGGGAGGGATGAAGCGGTGTGCATTTCAGCAGGATGAAAAAAAACAGCGGCACACATGAAAACAGGGAAAAGAAACCCAGACACACGTTCAGCCACCACAAAAACCACAAACATTCAGCATGTGGAAGTCAGTGCTACTGGCTAATTTGTTTACCTTATCAGATATATCTGGCACATTGTAATAATCCCTGATAAATTAATGCTGTTAGTAATGTTTTGGTTTTGTGTCTAGAGCAAACATCCGAAACACATACAGGAGACACACTTACTGCCTGTCATCAAAATACAAACTATATAAATGACCCCTGGGAGGAGAGGCCCGAAATCGAGGGACTGGGGTGGGCAGAGAGAAAAAGACAGGAAAAGAAGGAGATAGAGACAGAGAGAGGGAGGGAGAGATAAAGGGACAGATAAAGGGACAGATAAAGGGAGAGGGAGGCTCACAATGAATCTTGCATGAGTGCATGGACCAGGGCCAGGGCACAGAAAGTGGTCACTAATGGGGCTGAAACAGGCTGAGCTGGTTGTGTAGCCTGAGCCCACGGGGGTACAGGGCCACAGCGCCCTAAGGGAGCCAAGCGTTGGGCCCCGCACCAGGCCCGGCCCTGAGGGCCCCGCATCGGGTCCGATACCGAGGGCCCGACACCGAGGGCCCCGCTTTGGGTCTGATACCGAGGGCCCGACATCGTGGGTCCAACACCGAGGGCCCCGCATCAGGTCCGATACTGAGGACCCGACACGAGGGTCTGAAACCGAGGGCCCCGCATCGGGTCCGATACCGAGGGCCCGACACGAGGGTCTGAAACCGAGGGCCCCGCATCAGGCCCGGCCCTGAGGGCCCCGCATCGGGTCCGATACCGAGGGCCCGACACCGAGGGCCTGAAACCAAGAGCCCCGCATCGGGTCCGATATCGAGAGCCCGACACCGAGGGTCCGATACCGAGGGTCCGATATCGAGGGCCCGACACCGAGGGCCCCGCTTTGGGTCTGATACCGAGGGCCCGACATCAAGGGTCCGACACCGAGGGCCCCGCATCAGGTCCGACACCGAGGGTCCGATACAGAGGGCNGATACCGAGGGCCCGACATCAAGGGTCCGACACCGAGGGCCCCGCATCAGGTCCGACACCGAGGGTCCGATACAGAGGGCCCGACACCGAGGGTCTGATACCGAGGGCCCCGTATCAGGTCCGATACCGAGGGCCCGACACCGAGGGTCCGATACCGAGGG